AATACGTTTTTGATAATATTTTCTTAATCACTATTAATTAAATTTTAAAATTATTAAAAAAATAAAATAGTTTAGTACATTTGAACTTCAAATAGGAATGGAAAATTGAATGATTTTAGTCATGAGGCTTTTTTTATTAAAATTTCATAATAACTCAACAAATCTATTTTTCTTAAGACAAGTAAGTACTATAACATTTATTTACTTATGAATGAGTTAATAAATAGTAAAGACAAAAAAGTTATTTTAAAAATAAATGTTTATGGCTAATTTATTACTGTAGGTAAGATAGAACTAACCWTTGGTTTATTGTGTACATATTATTCACGTTAGCAACTAACTATAGTGGGTTAGTAAGTACACAATTTTATAAGTAGTAAAACTATTAAGAAACATTTATATTTTTGTATTACAATTTAAAGATGTATAAACCATACGTGATTGTTTGGATGCATTAACCCAGATACTTGGAGTTAATATAATATACTTATGATTAGTTGCATATTAGGCATATATTGTAAATAGTAATATTATTTAATTTTGTGTTTAAATTTAAACATCGAAAGTAAACAAAATATTTTTAATATTTTTATTTAACTCAATATGATTTAAGTTCAAACAAATATACAATTTAAGACCACCCATCATTTAAGTAATATTAAGCTAAAATTGTCACACTGATAATATTGATCTACCTACTAAGTTATTATCTTTTTTAATTGTAAATGAAAATTAACAATAGTGTATCAATATAAGCAATGTAAGTATAGACAATTGTGTTCATTAAAAATTGCATAAATAAAATTATATCAATTTATATCATTGTTTAAGATGGTCGTGAATAGAAATATAATTAATGTTTATTAATTTTCAATTTCACGAAAATTCAACTTATCGAATAAATAATAAAAATACAATTAATAACTATAAGTAATTACAATTATGTATTTATACTAACAAATCATACATAATCACATTAATTGGAGAAACAAAAAATCTGATTATAACAGAAAGTTATAAATAAATAATTCCAATAAATTGGAAAATATTTTTATTTTTTTTGGATTCATTGAAAAATATTTAATAGAAATAAGTTATTGTGTGATATTTAATTTTAAAATTGTATTATAGAATTGATCGTGTTGTCTATTTTATCCAAAATCTTATCTAAAAATAATGTTTATAGGTAAATTTTATATTGCTATATTCTATATTCTATAGAATTTACATGGTTCTTCTTAACAGTGGTTGTAGTTAGTTATAAATATTTAAATATGCAACTATAGACGAATTTAAATTGTAATAAAAGCTATTTAAACAATGTTTAACCAGAAAGTTTTTAATTTAATAATAGTTATTATTTATAAAAAAAAAAATATTCTTATAATTAAAATAATAATAATAATAATGTTGACAAACCAATATTCCGATATCTCACTTGTATCACAATGTAAATCAATATTAGGTCTACTAAGTATTTAATTATAATATTTCTATACAATTTTTATAAAGATGACCGCTTTGAAATACTTCAATATTGGGTTGACAGAATATTTAAGCCCCAACTACCCTGGTTGTAGTTGTTAAGCCCTGGTAATAATATTGT